ATCTGAAAAAAAAATATTATTACAGTGGAAAACAGGAAAACAAGAGTCAAATTCTTATCTTTTAATATCCAAGGCTTTGAAATGCAGTCATCAGCATTCTGGTCCACCCCACCCAACCCTCCTACCTTAAAAGACCAAAGATTCCAAGGCCAGGGGAAGAATGGGGCCAGAGGGATGCACATGAGTTTTGTAGGTCCCTCTTCTGATATGTGAGGAGGGAGAACGAGAGGACTTCCGGATGGTCTCGGGAATCTGAGAGCAGAATTCCCAAGTAGAGCCTGGAAGAGAGGAAAGCATTGGAGTACCTCCCAACACATGTCCTGGTGAAGGAGAGAAAAGCTCCTGCTGGTGGGAGCATCTGGACAGATGGGTCAAAAAGTTTCTTTTGGACCCAGGAGGAGCATGAAAATAGATGAGAAAGAGCTGAGACCAAGAGGTGACTTCAGATGGGAGAAGAGATATCTCAGGGGATGGCCACATGGACAGCTGATGACCTGATATCAGCACTAAACAATTACAACTCTTCCCAAATCTTATCATATCATGAGCACCCAGTACTTAGGAAAAAATCCTAGCAATACCTGAGAAGTTATTTTCCAATACCTGGTGGAAGGGAGGTTTTAAGTAGATAAGGTGCCATTCAGAAATTGGCCATTCCAATCTCTAGAGAGAGAAATTGGAAATACCATCTGCTTACATAGCATAACGTTTTCTCTCTCTCTCTCTCTCTCTCTCTCCCCTGTAGTAGAATGTCTGAGGTCAGCCATCCATGGCAAGTATGGCAGCTGCCCTCTTATCAAGAACCCAGACCCTACTGAGAAGTGACTTCCATCTATAAGGTTTCTTCATGATCTAAGATGGATATTGAATTTTAGGCCTAAAATAGTACAAAAGGGGAAAAGACAAGAAAAAGCCCATTCCAGTTCTCTGTCCACCTCTTACGGAGTCTTCCTAGAAGTCCCTCTGAGCAATTTTCTCTTACATCTCCTTGGTAACCCCTAGCTACAGAAAAGGCTGAAAATGTGGTCTTTTAGCTGGGCTCCAAGAAAACAGGTTCTTCTATTAAGAAGCAAGGAGAGAACGGACACAGGATAGTAGCTTACAGACAGTAAGTTCATTCTTAGGGAGAAAATGGGGAGGTAAAATTGTGCACATATATAGATGTGCGAGCTGAGAGTCACATACACCAATCCATCTCCCCGGATAGATTGTAACCTTAGAGAAAGCAGGGTCAATTTCTCCCTTGTTCACAATTTTATTCAATTATGTAGCCCAATGTCTGCTACTCATTAGCAATCTACATTTGTTTAATGAATGAATAAAATAATTAAGGGGAAAAGATGAGTAAATAAGTATACGTGGCCTTCCAACACTCAGCATCATGTAAAACTTACTTGATGTTCTAATGTGGTGTGATAGTGTTTAGTGCTGTTCACTGAGTATTTCTGGTGCCCTCCCTCTGGGTACATGGTAGGATTACACATCCAGTGCTCCTTCTGTCTAGGTGAAGACATGTGATTATGGTCAATGAGTTAGTTGTGAGCAGAAGGAACATATGTGTCTTCTGGGCCCACGGATTCAGTTGCCAACATGAGACCCATCAGGGCTCTCATTCCCACTGCACCAGCAACTGACAATGTCAGAGCTGGGATCTCTCCATCAGCTTGGGTCTCTGATAAAGGTGACATGAAGCAGGTGACCTGCAGTGAGTATGTAGCAACGCCTATTTCCTGGATTCACCAATTTACTTTCCCCATCACACAAATGTAAGCCTTTTAATGTAGTCAACCGAGGAAACATTTTAAATACTATAAAATACATCAAATTTATGTCATGGGTCCACTACCAACTTGACCTCTGAAACAGTGAAGTCAGCTTTTAAAAGTCAAGTTAAAAGTAATCAGTTGGATATAACTGGCATAATGAAAAAAAAATCCATCTTAAATAAAGATAGAACACTTAGGGTAAAATGTATTTTCAAGAAAAGCCTTTGCCTTAGTATTTTAAAGAACGCAGAGATAGAAATTTTTCAAATATTAGTTGCATTTAAACCAAGATAAGGAATAGCACTGTAACAAGTGGTACAATTAAAAGAAGTCTTTTCTTTTTCTTTTTTTTTAGTAGGCTCCACACCCAACATGGGGCTTGAACTCACGACCCTGAAATAGAGTCGCATGCTCTACTAACTGAGCCAGCCAGGTGCCCCTGAAAGGAGTGTTTTTTTAACCTTTTTGATACACACACTAATCACGTGTAAATACATTCGCATGTAGTTGTACAATGTAAGTATTATTAAAGCATATAACATAGAAATACTCATTTTTTAGAGACAAACATCTCATTGTGGCACCTTTAAAGTATAGAATCTGGCTAATTGGCTTTGTTTCCCACTTTCTGAATCTATAATTAAATGCAGATTCTGAAAAATGATTAAAAGCTCTAATATCCTTTACCCTGAAATTGTGTGGACCATAAACATTAAAGCAACTTGGTTAACATCAAGCAATCTTACCTTTCACATATAGTACAATCAAACCTCTATTCTAAAATCCCAGAGAATTATTACAAGACAATGTTTAGCTTCTTCCAAACCAAGCAATTTTAGTTGCTTTTAGCCATCTTCCCCTAACATACGATTTCAGGATTATTATGTTCTATGACTTGAATCCCCTGCACAGAAATATACATAACTAGATACTTAACGCAGGTTTGAGATTTGTTACCCTTTTCTGGAAGAGCTGATTATATTCCATGAGGATGAAAAAGATGTTACATTCAAGTCTGTTACTTCAGATGACTAATGGATAAACTACTCAGGCAAGAAGAGCAAATGGAAATAATTGGGTGTTTCTTTCCTTATAACTGAATCTTATAACTCCCATGCAGATAGTGCCATCCGAGTGCAGATCGAAGCTAAACTTTTAACAGGCTCTGAAATTCAGGGTTTGCATGCTATTTTTATTCTCCAGTTTATGTCTAAATGTAATAAATAATTTAAGAGATTTACCATCACTTCCTTCATATAAAAAAAGGAAAAATCTGAAGGAGTTTAATGGTGTAGGGTAGGCAGTAAAAAGATGACACTATGAAAATTAAAATATTACTGGAGCCATGAATTTATAAGATTTTTAAGTATTCTCTCTCCATCAAACTACCCGGCCTTTTTTCTTTTTTTTAATGCTACAACATTAAATTTTTGGATCATGTTGGAGACTATAGACCAAAATGTCTCCATAACAATGCCAAGGAAATACCAGAGAATTGAACATTTCCAGATGAGCCCACAGGCAATTCCAATACCCGGGTATTCGAACCTCATTTACTATTCTTTTTTTTGAGACTAGGTGTTTTCAATGGGAGAACACAATAACACAAGGTGAATAAGTACCCGTATTATCACCATTCTAGTTCACATAATGTATCGTTGCAGAGTCCTTAAAAATCACCATGGACACACTCTCAGACAGGCGTTTTGGTCCAGAAACCATATGCTCAACTAGATTGTGAAAAACCTTATTGCAGATAGGGCATGTGCTTGGCAAAGCCATGGATCACCAGCTGGGCACTGCTTCCTCAAGGAAGCTCCAGGACACTATGGCATCCTTCCAAGGGCAATGGTTCCTTTTGGGCCATCAGAGAATCGGAAGAGTTTTGGCCCCTCATGGTTCAGTTGATCCATGTAGTCACCATGCAGACATGCGTTGTGAGTGGATGTGAATGTGCTCAGCCTGATACTTCCCCACGCTCATTCTTTGGTGTCCTTTGTGACACCTTCCCACCCACCACGGCCCAGTTTGCAGATTGCTGGTCACCTCGATTTTACTTTGTTTTCCATGATACAATATTCAGGTTCCACAGCTCTTAGGAACCCACTCTGTGCCTCTTTCGACCTTAGGTAATATAAACCTATTTTCTTCCTAACCTTCTTAAAAGAGGATTAATGGAATTTTGAATTTTTCCTATTGCAAAAATTCTTAGGTTTTTGTCAAAAGAGATTTGAAATACCACATGAAATGAGGTACTCACATCCTTCACCACCACCTCCAAATAACTGAATTACATAAATAAAACATTACATAGAAAGAGCTTTGCTACAATTTATGGGAGGTAAATTTAACAAGAACTGGCTCATTGTAGGAAAATTCAACTTATCTTTTCCCGATCCTTTTATTCTATACGGGGAAAGAAATTTATGTCAGCTTAAAAAAAATCTATTACTGCTTCTCATAACTGAATCCATTATTTTTCTCTATGATCCATCAGGCAAAAACAAGAACAATAGATTGCTTTGACAGAACCTTGAACATAAACGTCTCCAAGAATCAAACGTAGTAAGTTAAACCGGTTTCAGGTATTATTAAAACAAGAAAGGATAACCTTCTCTATACATTTCAAAATCAGATCTTACTAAGAAAGTTATTATTATTAGCTGCTAAAAAAAAGACAGATTATATAGTAGTTGAATTTTCACAATTAGACTCTGACTTTAAACAAATGAAGTTGTCCTATACATAGTCAACTGACTTAAACAACTGGTGTTGACCTTATCTTATAAATCTTTCCTATTTATAAAAAAAAGTCAAGGGGCTCTATTATCAATAGCTCCACATGACCCATTTCAGTTGCAGAGAAGTCTGAATGTATGTACACACACCTACCTACAACTGGGATTTTCTCCTTAATGGATACCTATCCAGCATCTGATTTTATTCCGATAAGCCAACCTCCCAACTTGTCTCCAGGAAAAAGGGCCACACGTCCAGTTTCAGTGGCAGAACTTATTCTAAGCCAATCAGCACATAACATTCACATTAAGTCTATTATTCATCAGCATATGACCCAATTTGTCTAACGAGAAAAAAGAATGATTTTCTTTAAAGATTTCTTTATTTGAGAGAGAGACAGAGAGAGTAGGGGGAGAAGACCAGATGGAGAGGGAGAGAGAGTCTTAAGCCGACTCCCTGCTGAGCATGGAGCCCGACACAGGGCTCAGTCTCACAACCCTGAGATCACGACCTGAGCTGAAACCAAGAGTCGGAGGCTTAACCGACTGCACTACCCAGGAGCCCCCAAAAACAATGCTTCTTATGCAAGCTGAAAATGCAGAGAGAGAGGTTTCCCATTTTCCGCTACTAGATGAGGAGAAAAGAACAGGGAGCCCCAGCTGCTACTGAGCCATCTGGGACTTTGAGAATGAGGACAATGCTGGTGACAGAGAAGATAGCTGGAAGGAACGTGGGTCCCCGTCACTATCACTGAAGTGCCAATGATATGGTACCTGAAGCCCTCCCTACCTCCAGCCTTCCAGGTAGAGCTCACACATTTACTTCTTAATACTTCATCCACTTTGAATTTGGGTTTCTGTAACTGTTGAGATATGTTCTTCTCCTTTAAAGATGAGAGAATATACTCAAAATCTTCTGTCTTTTCATGGCTTGTTTCATTCATATTGCTTTACAGCAGAGATCTTTGAATATATACTTGATTCTGAAACTACCTTTGAGAACTCTCTCTAATCATCTTATGGGGCACAAAATTTGATCCACCCGTTGCTTAAGAAGACAGTAACATGCTTACAAAGGTTAATGCACATTTAAGATGAGTAAAAACCCTCTTGTCCTACCAGACAGAAAATACAGCTTCATAACCAAGGTCAGACCTTATTCTTAGCCTCTAGTTCGAAAACTGAGCTTGACCTGCACTATAATCAATTTAAAACTCTGGCCTAAATGCCAAAGGTCCATCTTTTAAAAAATTATTCAGGAATCTCAGCCATAGCAATCCTACTGCTCTCCTCTCCTGTTCCTAAACTATTTTATACTTATTTCTCAGATTTTGCAGGCCACTAGATGTTTCTCACATATTTCCATAGATAATAACTCATCTGCTTTGCAATCTGATTCTTAACATTATGAGATTAAAACTAATGTAGATGATTCTCAGATGACACATACTGAGGTACAGAAAAATCCCATCATTTCCTTCTACAAAATGAGAGAAATTTTAATTCTTTTTCTCAACAGCTGCTTCATTTTTTTATGCATAGGAAAAAATATGTGCAATTGCTCCAAGTACAATCAAGTCATTTCACATGGCTTTACCATCATTGTAGTTACAGGATATTTTAAAAGAGAAAAAAAAATCTCAAAGCACAGGTCCTGCTGTGCAGCAAAGCAATCAGATTCCTTCATAATAACAGCCTGATGGGATTCAGCAATCCGAGGAATAATGAATAACCACTCTAATCAGTAAACAGGAAAATGCTACAACAGCCACTGAGTAAAAATTGACTATCATCTGTTGATCCTCTTGATCGGTATTTCAAACAATAAATAGAAATGTTTAAGTATTTTTTAAAAAGAAAAATAACTGTGTTTCTGTGTTTGATTTTTGCCAGGCAATGATGAAATATCATCTTAGACTGTCGTGCAGTGTTGCCCAGTCACGTATAATGCACCTATAATCTTCCTCATAATACACGGACACGCTGACCCTATCACTCGAATATGTCAAGGTAAGTTCTTCTGGCAGTTGATTAATAAGGTTGTATTTCTGGACTGATTATTGAACTCTTTTGTTACTTGATTATTTAATGTTCTTCTTCAGTGTTCATCTTACGAAGTTATTTGTATCTGAAAATGAAAAGTCTGTTTCAAAATAGTCTTCAAGTTCCCAGTGCAGTTTCTCAAATGTTGGCCGTTCCTTAGGCTCTGCGTTCCAACACTCCCACATGATGTTGTAGAACTGTGGTGGACAGTTAGGTGGTTGAGGGAGTCTATAGTTTTGACCCAACATCTGGATTACCTGAGCACCTGTCATGCCTAAATAACATAGAAAGGAACCAACAAAAAACAAGTTAAAGTTCAGGGTCTTAAATTCATAGATAATTATATTCAAGATTACAAAGCAAACTGATCTCCTTGGTGAAGCTATGAGGTCTACCATCCCCTTCCCAGGCTGCAGAGATTAAACTACATCTTGCAGCAAGTAATGTCCATAAGACTGCAATTCAAGAGCAAAGGAGAAAGGGGCAATAAACTACCTCATTAATGCAAATCATCATCATCAAATTTTATCTATTATGCTCCCACAGGCACATGGTATGGTCAGCCCCATAACTCTGCCCTCTAAGTCTGGGCAAAGCAGTTAAAGTCACACCTAAGTAAGTGACCTGCAGCAGAAAGGCCCACTTCAGAATTAATTACTCACCACTATAAGGCACTTTGCCATAAGTAATGATTTCATAAAGAAGGATTCCAAATGACCACACATCGGACTTAATGCTGAATTTATTACCACGAATGGCTTCGGGCGCAGTCCACTTCACTGGCAGCTTTATTTCTTGTTTGGATTCACAGATGTCTTCATTATCTACCTGTTAATGCATTAAGGAATCAAGCCAAGTTCAAGTGATATATATATATTTTTTTGCTACCCTCATTTCACATTAAACCTGTTTAATGTATAACCTGTTTCACATTAAAATTTAGAGGGAAAAGTTTCAAAATGAGCTTAGTTCAATTGATAATTATAGTAGCAAATTCCAAATCTGGCTTATAAGACGGAGAAATCTATGAGAAGTCATTAATAAAATATTATTTAAGAGCCTACTATGTGCCAAAAACAGCACTGAGAGGAGCACTCTACTGCATATGGGAGAACTCACGTGTGATGGTCTTCAGCAAATTTAAAAAAAGGAAAGCAAAGTCTGTCTGTTTCCAGACTTACCGTTGGTATTGGAGAGCCACTGACTTTAATAATTACCATGTTGCCACTTTCTGATACTGAAAAGTAGGATCCAAATTATTTAAATTAATATATCAAGTCACTGAGCTTCTAATTAACTTATAAGAAAGGTAATGAATTCATGAAGATCAAAAGAGAATCACTTATATGTTGTGTTTCATGTTCCACACCCATATTTGTAGGGCACAATGTAGAAATTAAAAATTAAATTCAGAGAAAAACACCTAATAGTATGTCACTAATGTCAGTGTCTTTTGGCCTGATGTCATGACATGGGGAGAGGGGCAGTAATTAAAAAGTCAGTGATTGCTAAAGAGTTCTGGCAGTGTGAATATTAATCTGGCAGAAAGTGAGCAAAGGTGGATGGGGTAACTATACAAAATGTGCTGCTTTTTGTAAGGAAAATTGAGGCAAACCAACAGAGGCTACTGTACTGAAAAGCAGATCATTAATCCAACCACAAACTTAATCACATATTTTCCCATCTGGTTAGGCATCATTTTCTCTGTTTCTTTCTCCTTGGTGAAGAAATAGAAACAGGAGGTAGTTTATCTGTAAGGCCTTGGGCTACTGAAGTGTTCTACAGACCACAGAACTTGGAGAAACATTATTCTGAAGAACAACAGTAAATCTATTAGTCTGCTGGTATGTTAGACTTCTGACCTGTGACAAAACCTAGTTAGAACAAAACAAAATTCACCTTAAAAACTCTTGCAAGTCCAAAATCTGCAACTTTGTAGATATTATGTTCACCAACCAGGACATTTCTGGCAGCCAGATCTCTATGAATGTAGTTCTGGGACTCCAGATAAGCCATCCCAGAGGCAACCTGCGCAGCCATGTCTACCTGCTGAGTCAGATGGATTTTTGTCCCAGCATCATCTGAGCAATAAGAGAAAGTAAGAGATTGACTTTGGAGAACATGTGAATTATTGAAGTGAATTCTGAGAATTTTGATGAATGAGCTGTCGGTGGGATTAAGTGCCATAGCACTGATCTGTTGAGCAAAGAAACATAATTAATACAGACCATTCATTTCCTGTGAAGGGTCAATGAGGCAACAATTTTCAGAGTCCAAACACATTCCAAGGCTGTGGCCCTCTCTCCCCTGAAGGAACATTCCACAGAGAAAGAAACAACAGTATCACGTAATTCGAATACAGCTCTAAAGATCTGAAAGAGTCCAGGTATTGCCATTTTCCATAGCACGCATCATTGACTCATCTCTTCATGGAAAAGTTACTTGGTTACTTGGTTGCCTCTAGATTTCCTTCAAACATTTCATAATTTTAGTCTTTGAAGCTATAAAATAATACTAACTTGCATGGCTGAGCCAATGAAAAGTTCTCATTCTTCCATCATATTGGGTTTTTTTTTTTTCTATCATATTGTTCTTAAAAACTAGCTCACGAACAAAAATGAAGGGTCTATCAGTATTTATTAAATGTGTATGTTACATTTGTACTCCATTAAGCTTGATATACTTTTTCTTTAATTTCCTTTTTTAAGCCTGTTATTCTTAGAAATAGTTCACTCATCTCTCCAGGCACGGACATGCCTTTAATAGACATAGTTTCTACCACTACTCATCCTATATAATTAAGTTTAGGAAAGTAGACTCAGTTTGATCATTAATAGAGAGGTTAGGGTTATTCTTTGCTGACTCTGTGCAGTGGGGTCAGCCATCCCTGGATACTGTTTAGCTACCATACTCTTAGTAGATGTCTTCAGATTTCTGAAGAATTAAAAAGGTCTCCTATAAATCCAAACTATCATCATCCCTGACTCAATAAGCCAAATATTACCAAAACTGTGTTGAATTCACGGTCAAGACTCTTAGATACAACTTGACTTGAAAGGCAACTCTAGCTCAGGGGTTAGAAAACTGGCTTGAGGCTAGACTGCCAAGATCTGGATCAGAGCTTTGTCTCACGTTTCTTCCTGACCTCAGGCAAGCTGTTTAACACTCCTGTGCCTCCGTTTCTTCATCTATATGGTGGTCATTGTAATTCCCTTATGGTATTAGTTGTTAAAATGAGAATTAAAATGAGTTAATACATGTAAAACACTTAAAGCAGAACCTGGCACCTAGAAAGAACTCAGTAAATCCTACCTGTTTTTATTATCACTGCTGCTGCCTAAGCAGAATTAAACAGTTTAGGAATTATTAAGGTAGAGATGCATATGGATTACCCAAATGGAAATGCCTAAATGAAGACAAACATATGGGTCTGGAGCTCACATGCAGCTAAAGATACCAACTTAACAGTCATAGTTTGTGGGTAGAGTTAAACATTAGAAGTGGGTGAGACTGTTAGGAAGTGACAGAATCATGAGAAACACCAACATTTCGGGTGGACAGAGGAAGATAAACCTACAAGAAGACTGAGAAAAATCAGCCGGAAAAATGAAAGATAAACCAGAAGAGAGCATCCTAACAGTCAAAGGTTTTGAGAAAGTCACCACCATTGTCAAATTCCACAAGTGAGTCCAGCAAGATAAGGTCTAAAAGGTATTTATTAAATATTACTAGGCAGTCATTGGTGACCTTAGTGTTATAAAGAGCACTTTCACTGGAGATGGAGGATAAGGGGTTGAGGGCAGAATGGGAGCTGAGGATATGGAGACAACAATTTCCAAACCCTAGTCAAGAAGGGAAGACAACAGGGAGTTGGCAGAGAATAAGTCAAGGGAAAGCAATTAGCAGGAAATTCATGATTGTGAGGGGCTGTCAATGACATGGTACTCAGGGGGTTTCTGGAGTGCTAGCCACGTTCTCATTCTTGATTTGTACAGTGGCCATACCGTTGTTTATTGCTCACTTTCAATTAATGATAAATTATACTATATGATGTGTGTCCTTTATGCATGCCATCTTTTCAATAAAAAATGAAATAAATAGGGGCACGTGGGTGGCTCAGTTGGTTAAGCATCTGCCTTTGGCTCAGGTCATGATCCCAGGGTCCTGGGATCGAGCCCCACATCGGGCTCCCAGCTCAGTGGAATGTCTGCTTCTCCCTCTCCCTCTGCCCCTGCTTGTGTTCCCTCTCTCGCTGTCTCTCTCTCTGTCAAATAAATAAATAAAATCTTTTAAAATAATGAAATAAATAGAGTTGAGGACATCTTTTTTAATGGTATAGATCTAAGCACTGTGTGTGCATACATACATATATATTTATTTTTTAACGCAAGCAGCATATTTAAATATTATGTGTGGTGAAACTAAGTGCTCACTGACCCTTTTCTTTTGCCCTTTTCTTCCTGTGCAAACATAGAAGACTATGTTGCCCATCTTCCCTAGCAGTTAAATTGGGCCATGTCACTAATTCTGTGCACTGCAACGTGTGCAAAAGAGCACGTTCATCACTTACAGGCCTGATCCTTAAAATCTCCCACATTTTTGTAGCTAGAAGAAATACATTTTGAAATGGCAGGGCCACATAATGAAAGAAGTCTAAATCCCTATGTCACCATTTAAAGAAAGCCATGTAGCAAAGCAAGTCTGATGCATATCAAAAATGCATATTTTTGTTATGTCACTAATTGTATATTACAGCAGCTAATATTGATCATTCAGTCTAAAATGAGATGTAAGCAAAAAGACAAAACATAACTTTTTTAAAAAAGATTTTATTTATTGGGGCACCTGGGTGGCTCAGTCAGTTAAGTGTCTGCCTTCTGCTTGGGTCATGATCTCAGGGTCCTGGGATGGAGCCCCGAATTGGGCTCACTGCTCATCGGGGAGTCTGCTTCTCCCTCTCCCTCTATCCCTCTCCTCTGCTTGTGCCTTCTCTCTCTCTCTCAAATAAATAAAAAGATTTTATTTATTTATTTATTTGCTTACTTATTTATGTATTGAGAGAGAGAGAGAGAGCAGGGGGAGGGGCAGAGGGAGAGAGAGAATCTCAAGCAGACTCCACGCTAAGCATGGAGCCCATCACAGGTCTCGATCTCACACCTGAGATCATGGTCTGAGAGTCAGACGCTTAACTGACCGAGCCACCCAGGTGCCCCAAAGACAGAGCATAACTTAGTGTGCAGCATAATGGCAAAGTATTGCTGCTCTATTGGCCAAAATAGCTATGCCTTTTGATACCAAATTAACTCAATATGAAAAGAAATGTAAAAAAGTCAAGATAAACTGGTGACTAGTCCTAGGTCAAGTGATAGACAGTTTCTAAAATGGCTTCTCATATTCTCTATTTCCTGGTATTTGTGCTCTTATGAAATTCCCTTCCATTAAATGTGGTTTGGACCACTGACTCACTTTTAACAAATAAAATACAGCAGAAGTGATGGGGTATGACTTCCAAGATAAATTATAAAAGACTGTGGCTTCATCCTGCAGGCACTCTCCTCTCTCTTGCTCTCTCACTTGTTCACTCTGATGAAGCCAACTGCCATGTTGTAAGTTGCCCTATGGAGAGGTCCACGTACCAAGGATCATAGGGCAGCTTCAGGCCAACAACCAGCAGGAAACTGGCTTCCTCAGTCCAACAGCCCTGGAGAAACCAATTCCTGCCAACAATCACATGAGTGAGCTTGGAAATAGATCAACCTCCCCTAGAGCCTTCAGATAACTGAAGCATCTGCCAACACCTGACTGCAGTCTTGTGAGAAACCCGGGCGTAGAAGACCCAGCTCAGCTGTACCTGGATTCCTGACCACAGAAACTGTGAGATAATAAATGCTTGCTGTTTTAAGCCACTAAGTTCTGGGTAACTTGTTGTGCAGCAATAGATAATGAATATAGGTTCACGTTAAGAAACTAATGCCAGTGTTATGCATATAGTTAAAAGCATAGACTACGGAGCCAGACTTCTGGGTTTGAATTCTGGCTCAACCACCTTGGATAAGTTATTAACCTCTCCATCCCTCAGCTTCTTCCACTGTAAGGTGGAAATGATGATAACAGTAATAATAATAATACTCATCTCATTGGGTTGTTAGAAGAATGAACTAAGTTAATATTTTTACAACACTTGGAAAATGCCTGGCAGGGGTGCCTGGGTAGTTAAGCAGGCGATTAACCTTAATCAGTTGGTTAAGCATCTGATTCTTGGTTTCAGCTCAGGTCATGATCTCAGGGTCGTGGGATTGAGCCCTGCATCTGGCTCCATGCTCAGTGCAGAGTCTGCTTGTCCCGCTCCCTCTCCTTCTGTTCCTGACCCCCTCCCCCCACCACTCATGTGATCACTCTCTCGCTCTCTCCAATCAATCAATCAATCAATCAATAAATCGATCTTTAAGAAAGAAAGAAAGAAAAATGCCTGGCACATAGTAAATACTATACGGTGGCTTTTTTTTTTTAAAGGAAAAAAATGAATATATATGCACCTCTCCTACCACTACCCCATATGGTTGATTTTCACTACATCACCTCATTTTATGCTCAGAACTACTGAAGTAAGTATTGTTATTATTTGTCCCCTTCCATAGCAGTTTCTGCTACTTAGAAGAACGAGTAATAAGTTGTAGAGTGGAGATTCAAGTTCGGGCATGTTTGAGGTTGAAATCTCACGCTCTTAAAAACTATTCTATACTCCTTCCTAAAACTTACCTTACACATGATTCCTGAGCACCGGAATGGTGGGGCTACAGTTGTAGGTCAGCTAAAGAGTATCTCAATGAAAATACTCCTGTCTACTTTAGGCCATCTAAGTGAACTGTCCATGAGATTGATTAACAACATGCTAGGACTCTATTTATTTTAAAAAATATGTATGTACGTAAAAAAAAATGCAGGTATTTATTCTTTTTAAATTTCAATAAGAAATACCTGACATCAATTACCCTCAAAGCTGAAGTTTTTTGACAAGCCTCTTCCATTTTGGAGAAATTTATTACAAAAAAATATTTAGCCAAGCTTAGGGACTACAAAGCTGGTTCTATGGAAAAATATGTATGTCATTTCAACTATCAAATACGACATCTAATCCTATTACAGTGGATATGAAAAGTTTTCACTGACAGGCACAATAGAGAAGAAAATTGAGTAATAACACGTTTTCTACCCTGAGAGACTGCAGTGGCCTGGGAAATGCCCAAGTAAACTTCAGAACACACTTCCGGTACAACAGCCAGTTGTCAAAACTGATATAAAGGTTCACAGGCCTGTGACAATTTACATCTGCCATGAGAAAATATTTTCAGTTATGTTCCATTCTCAAGAGTCTTTCATCTTATAACAGTTATCATGGTGGGCTGTTTAAGAGGGCAGATTCATTTTAAGATCACTTTGTTGAATTTAAGCCCTCTTGATTGGGAAGGGATTGTCTGTAATGAGCATCTCTTCATTACTCCTCATGGCTACTAAGTATCTTGACAAATGAAGGCCTTGGTAAACTTGACGCTTAAGGTCCAACTCAGAATATGACAGGGTTTGTGCTGACCCCTGAGTAAAACACATCAACAAACCACAAAAATCCTCAATGTCAAAGGAGTTCATAATTAATAAGTGGATCTTGTCAAGCTGACACAAAGTGTCTCAAAACAAGCTCAACCCCGAGTCTTGATATTAGGTTCAGAATAGCCCCACTTAATTTATCCATTAATTTTCTCATTCAGTCAGTCAACACATACATAATTAGTGCACACCTTCTATGTGCCTGACACTGTTCTATCACTAAAACAAAGAAAAATCTCTAACCTCCTGGAGTTGTATTTTAGAAGGTACTTACAATAAGCCACAAAACAAAGTCATACATTATGAGATGATCAGAAGCTAAGAAAAGAAAACAAAAAAAAAAAAGCAGGAAAGAAGCATACAAAGAGATAGAAGAAGATTAAATTTTAGAATTCAGAGGGTGACCAGTGAAGGACTCACCATAATGGGAACATCTGAGGAAAGACTGCAGAAGTGAGGAAGTGAGCTATAGGGATGTTAATGGGGGTGAAATTCAGATAGAGGAAGGAGCAAGTGCAAAGGGCCTGAAGCAAAGCACATGTGGAAGATATGAAGAGCAGCAAAAGGCAATGCGGCTGACAGAGTCAAGGGAGATAACGGAGATGTTGGGGGAGATGTGGAGACAAGGGAGAGAGGTAATGGAGAGCTGGGCCATGTCGGACTTTAGAGGTTGTACACAGAGAACCAGTGAGAGTCACTGAGGCTTTGAGCTGAAGAGGGACACGATCTGATTTACATTTTAACAGGATCTCTCCAACTCCTGTGTTGAGAAGAGACCGAGAGGAGCAAGAACCAAAAGAGGGAGACCACTTAGGAGGCTGCTGCACCATCCAGAAGAGAGCTGATGATGGCTTGGCCCAGGGTGGGTGTGCAGAGAGGTGCAAAATTCTGGATATATTTTGAAAAAAGTCAACTGGATTTGCTGATTGGTTAGATGGAAGCTGTGAGAAGAAGTAGAGATGATCCAAGAGATTAGGCTGAGTGTTGACATCGTCAAAGAAGGAAAGACCACAAGAGCAGCCAATTATTGAGGATAATATAAAATCAGTTTTGGACATGTTGTTTTGAGATTTTTAATGGACATATGTAGTAGAAATCCTGGCTGTTCACAAACATTTATTTTTTTCTCCTTTCAACCACATTAGAGGATTGTACTACCCTATTCCCTCTGACTTGGTTTGACCAGATAAAAAGGCACAGAAGTTATCTCTGCATCTCCCGACTGGAGCTCTAAGAGCCAGAACGAGATTAGTCTCATCCCCTTCCCCTGCCAAGGTGATCAAAACACCTGAGCCACCAACCAATCTATTTTGCACACATAATATGAGCAAGAAATAAATGCCTCTGGGATTTGGGAGACGGGGTGCCGCTGCATCACATCTATGTTATCCAGAGAAGCATTCAAGTAGAGTCAAGAAAGCAGTTGGATTTATGATTCTGAAGTAATGGAGGGATGTAATTTGAGAAATCTTTGATACATAAATGTTATTTAACCCTGAGACTGACTGAGATTAGCAAGGGAACTAGTGATGTTGCAAAATTCCAAAATGTTGAGAGATCTGAGAAATGAAAGAAATCACATAGATGGGAGAAGAACCAACAAAAAAGAGAGGAGGAAAAGCCATTGAGTGAAGTGTCCTGGAAGCCAAATGAAGGAAGTGCTTCCATTATTTCAAGTCCATTGAAATAAATGCTATGAACAGGTCTGAGGACTGAGAATTGACTATTAGATTTACCATCGTGATTGTTACAAGTGGCCTTGACAAAGCATTTTTATTAAAGATGACCCAAGATGGCTACTGTACTTTTGTCCCTGGGAATAAGGCAAAAGGGGTCAATGGCTGAGGTTAGTCTTACTCTGGTGGCTAATATATTCTGATATTGTTAAATTTGCTATCTTTATGCAAATGAGCTAGGCATATTTTTTTAACAGCATTTAACAGGCCCATGTTCTTTGTTCCTCTTTTCCACTTTCGCGATTTAATACCACCAGCTTCACAAGTCACCCTGAAATCAGAGAATACTCTTATCTTTCTAATATCTTTGTTCTATTAGTCTCACCTCCCTTTACCTCTACACGTTCTATCAATCCGACTCTGACATTTCAAGAAAGCATAGAAAAAGTCTCTTTTTTAAGCATGAATTATTCTCTCAGTACTTGATCTCCACTACTTTGAACATCTCATTTTAATACTCATTATATTGTTGCATATTAAATTATTCATTTGTAATAAACATCAAAATTTTACAATGCCCTTAAATCTGCTCTGACTACAGGAAGCAGATGTAGAAATAAAGCAATAGTATATTTCTGCTTTTTAGTCTGAAAATTCTAATGTTGCCTAGCCGTGGAAGTATTTTAAATACCAACAGGTACAATGTTGTCAAACACTGGCAAAGGAAAAAGAATGAGGGTACCTCTCCCTATCTCCCCAAAGGTATTCCATGTCTCCTAATTCTGGGCCATAGAACAAATTGGTCCATGACTGATAATGGTCCATTAGTTATTGTAGGAAACAAAGCATCATGTAAAACATGGTGTTTCATAGTCTTCAGTTTTCTACATTACATTTATGTGTTCCAATATGTCTATTGTGAACAATTTGTTCTTCGCTACATAAATATTTTTCCTCCTTTTGGTACACAGTATATATCCTATTAAAATGTAGTTGAGCCATTCACTGTTAAGACATTCATTCTCACAGACATCACACTGGGTTATAGAAGGCTTGCTAAATTGACATTTATAGGACTAGCTAAACTAAATTCCTCTTTTTTTTTCCCTTTTATTAAGTCTTTAGCTTACTTTGGAGATATTCTTGCAGACTTCCATGTCTCATCAACTCTGTAATAATATAAATTGGATCTTCTAAAGTGCAAACAGCATAAAGCTGAATAAGCTTTGGATGTCTTAGGTTCTTCATTATCTGTGCCTCCCTCAGGAAGTCCTTTGGATCCATTGAACCTGAAACAAGAAAAGGAGGAAATCACTTTATGTTATTGAGGCATTCCTATCCTCACAGCAGTCTGGTGGGAATCACTAAGATTGCTTCCTGCTTCTCAGTAAAGTAAGAGCATTGGTGTCACAAATCTTCAGATTTATTAAAGAAGAGAATCAGTCCAACCAGGGCAACCTAATAGCTGACGTGTTGGTGCATCAAGGGGGTGTAATTTATGTGTTATGACCTGTAGGTGAAGAGAGGTTGATGCTGGTCCATATGAAAAATGAAGGGAAAAGGAGTGACTGACAGTCTAATTGATAAAACAAGGCCAGCAAATTAAGAACACAAAGAGAAGACATTCTATTACCGTGAATGCTGCAGGACACTGAATGTTTAATTACTGCAGCCAGGGCTTTTTGGTCCAGGATCCAGAGAAGACTGATAGCTGCCCTGTCCCTGGTACCCACTGTGGGAACAGCTGGATAACAATCCTAAAGCAATGACATTCTGCCATATTTATGTCCTTCATTCTGTAGGGATATTTGGTATAGGCCAAGGAGAAAACATTCAAGGGCTACACCCAAAACTTAGTGGGGTTTTTTTTACCAGTCTTCTATGTCTAACTTGAAATTGATCTTCAACATTTTCTCCTATATTAATACTTCTGTAGTCAGACTCTTAAGAGCTTAGCAGAATGATAAGGAGACAGTATTGGGACCTATTATGAAGACTTGCCTACAATTACATTGTATTTTAATGGCTCAACTCTTACCATGCAAAGTGCCAAGTAGTTAACAACAAATAAAGTCTAAGAAGAGGAAGGATACCTGGAGTTTATATTTCATCAGTAATTTTTAAAAATCTTTCAATTTTTTTTTAGGATATGATGTTTCAGAGACATTACTGTAACTGAAGGAATACTGTCATTTCACATCTCAGTATTCACTATGGATAGTGCAAATATCATTTCCACTGATGCTCAAAGAGACTGTTCCATTCATCTGTCTCATGATGAAGACTTCATGACTGATATTTGAACCCAGGCATGGATAAGCTTTGACATTCTAAGATAACACTCCAACTTGTTTATTAATATGAAGTTAAGGAGAGTTACATGTGACTTGCAGACCATTTCACATAAAGCATTTAGGCAGTCTATCCTTTGGTATTCCCTTGAGAGTGTAGAAGTTCAGAACACAGGCTTGGTCAAACTCCAGATTCTGATCAAATCTTAGCTCACTGTGTGATCTTCAGCAAGTTACCAAATGTCTCTGAACTTCAATTTCTTCATCTGTAAAACATGGCTAAAAACCCGACTGATACCATAATATCATCACCAGGAAACAGCAATACCTGGCATATATATATTCAATGACTATTGGCCATTATTTGTATTATTATTAATATGCATACTCTAGGAAAAACCAAACACATCAACTCTATTTTCCCACAGACTGAGGAGGGGAAGGGGCAAGGACTCAAAGAAGGAGAAGAGAGAAAAATGACCTGTTCTCATTTCCATCATGATTTTCTATGCTTCCTCCATTCCATCCCTACCATTGGTTTGCTCCACATAATCAAATAGTGGCAAAATGGAGCTGAAAAGAAAAGAGGCACCCAAAACATAATAAAGGACTTTCTTCTTGTTGCAATTAGTCTGGCCTATGGTCAAATATGGATATAGTGGGATTCTCCCCACCCACCCCCAAAATAATCTGATTCATGAAGCTTCCAGTGATAAAAGCAATTACGATCACCATTCAGGCAATTTATATATACAGTATGTTTCTACCCTAATGCTTTGGTAGCCATCAGATTCGTGGAATGCAGGACACTCAAATCATTGCCAAGTCAGACTCTGCCCAAGAGCTGGACCCACGGGACATCAGGAGCCTCGGCGTGTGACGTCTGCTCAGAGCGCTCCGTAGCATCGCTGGTTACAGCTGACCAGCTGCACAGCAGAGACCCAATTTCAATTCAGCTAGTAATGCAACATTAAATATTAATTTTTGCCTGTCAAAGCTACTGTGGGAGTTGATTTCAGGCTCGTCTTTATTGCGTGGTAGTCTGCTAAGCAATAAATAGCTGCTAAGATTGATTAATGGCCCCGGTGAAGTGAAGACATTTAACCAATCACCAAAGCTGTTTGCTGCTATTACACTGTAAATCAATAATAATTATTCCTGTTGGAGAGAAAACCATCATGGCTTTTTTTTTTAATATAAGAAATGCGATTTTTTTTGTTGTTCTCTTTTGACCTCCACAAGGCCTTCCTTCAAGAACAATGTTAGGATGAATAGCTGGCTGCTTCGTTTTTGGAAAACAATGATTAGATTGGGAAATAAAGCTTAGGCTCAATTGTCAACAAGCTCAGGATTCAAAATAATATATATGCAGTGATTGGGAAAATCTCAGGTGCTGGAATAGATCGTCCTCCCCTGGAGTGCTCACATGACATCTGGCCACTCAAAAGTGCTTCTCCATCACTTCAGAAGGCAGGTGTAGATGCTGAGACCGAGGTCCTGCACTAGCGAATCTGCACCTCAGTGGACAGCTGTCAGCAGCCCCACTGAAGCTAACATTTATTAAGAACTCACTTGCGTGTGATCCCAGTCCCCACCAAAAACCCATTTTCACAAAGATATGATGTCAGAAAAGGGAATGTGACATGATCTAATACTGAACTATGTTCAAGTTGTTTACCTCAAAACTTTTAAATATCCTATGACACTCCTGTGAATTCACTGTGGTGCCCCGAAGTGCCTTAGCACACAGTTTGGGAACCATGGTGTTACACAAGACTGCTACCCAGCAGCACCCAGATGCTCAAGTTCTGTCACTGGGAGGCTTTCTGAACCCTTAAGGATTCTGGGTTAGGTAAAGAAGGAAGGTCCCCCAGAGAACTATATTCTAGCCTCTGGGTATTATTCCTGCCTATGTTATTAGAAGTAGATATGAGGCAACTACAGTAATGTCGTACTGTCATGGAATGTTACTTCACTGGGGTGATGCAACAGGGATAGGTGTGGGTTCAAATTCCAGCTCTGCCACTGACTGACCTTACAGTAATAATAATAATGATGATGATGATGATGATGATAATTAAAATAAGAACAGTTTTTCCTGGTCACTTACTATGAACAACAAGCTTTATTGTTGTTCAAGATATTATTCAAAGCATTTGCACTAATGACCCTCTTTTCCCAAATGATAAAACTGAGACTTAAAGTAGTTTAAAACTTTACCTAAGTTCATAGGACTAGTAAGTTTTAGGAAAGTTACTTAATCTTTCTAAATTTTCTTATCCTCCTTTTAAAATGGAGGGGATAATGCCTGGCAGAATAAATATGATTTTAGTGTACTTTTAATTTCCATGATAGGAAAAAGGAAGATGGAAGAAAAAACTAGTTCCTACATTTCCAAATATGAGGGCATTTAGATGGACCCTTTTACCTTTTAACCATAAACAATTAGTATTTAATAAAATGGTTTCTCCCTGAAGATCTCCAAGATTCCATTGATTTGTTAAGTTATTTTCAGTGAAGTCAGTATTTTTCATGAAGCCTAGGAAAAAAACGGGAAGAGGGATAATCCAAACTCTGAAGAAGAGATGCCTTGTTGAAATCTTGCATTGGGGATATTTTAAGCATTAGCTGATCGCAGGAACTTGCTCTTGCCTTTACAATCTAAAGCATGTTATACTTTCTTGTCACCTGGTCCAGAAAAAGTGATCACAACACTTGCATGGTACCTGCATTGGCTGTCCTGTGACCCCTTGGACATTGACAGTAGCAAGCTGAGCTTCTAAAAATCAACATCTGACATTTAAGCTTTGCCATTCTCAGTCTCGTACCTGGTTTTAATGTTTTTACTGCTACTGAAGCGGTATTGTTCCATAGGCCTTCCCACACTTCACCAAACTGACCAGATCCTAATCGCTTCAGAAGCTGTATGGACTGGCGGTCTATCTCCCACTGGTCCACGGTTTTATACGACAAATCAAAAGGCACTGGCACTTGCATCTGTTTCACAGAATAATTAGAATAATTATGAGAAAAAGATTTAAGAATTTGGGGGGTTGAAAATAATAGTCTAGGCACTTTTTAAGAAGACACCATTTTTAAAACCAAAACATTGTACATTTTATTCTAATTACTTTAAAATGAAAAGCAATCATGGCAGAATCTGTAACATTGCCTCTTTGAGCTGATCTCCCCCCAAGTCTTGCTACATCAGGCAACCTGCTGTCCATCTGTCCCACCCCACATCCAATGCTACCCTTACGTGGGTCTGGCTTGATTTTCCTCTGACTTTTTGCCTAGCCAAATCCTCCCAATTTTAAGGCCCATTTGAAGTTCCACCTCATTCGCAATTACTTCCCAAATTCTTTGGTCTATAGCATTTACCATATGTATCATATATTTTTGCATAATTAAAATGTTCATCTTGTTTCAAATTCATTTATGTATTTGTTCATTCATGTACTTGTTCGTTTAGTAAATAAGTATTTTTCAAGCACCAACAAGGTGCCGTTCTGTAAACAGAACAGACAAGATCCCTGCCCTCCTGGAGTTCATCGTCTAGTTCATTATCGACCATCAGAAATTATCTTAGCTCCTCTGCCAAATCATCAGCACGTTGAGTACACACTTGTCCCCACCAGAATTCAACACTACTGGTTAACCTGAGTATTTTTTAAGCCACATCTTTGCATCAGGTAAGCTATTCTTAACATGAGCTTACATATTCTTGTGGGGTCATGCCTGTATCATCCAAGATGAACACAGTTATACCAAAACTGCAGATTCACTTGGCAAGATTTAAGTCAATGAATTCCCTACATACTGGACAAAGTTCTGCAACTTCTACTTGTCCATAAAATCTTGGTCAGGTGTTACCAGTAACCCTTCACTGATCATCCAGACATAAACCACAGGGCTGGCTGTCCCACTGACAGGACATGAGACCTGAACTCTGATGAGGAGCTGAGGTTTTGCCCCAGGACAGTGCAAGACCACTCCATAACTTTAAATAAGTCTAGGTAAAACATGCAACAACTGAATAATGATCGATGTAGATAAATTCTATAAATGTTGTTTGGCCTGGTCACACTGTTAGAGCAGTTAGTTAAATGACATCTCTATGCAGACCAGATAATGAGTCTAGTAATTTCATATTAATATTCTCGAATACAGATCTAAATAAGAATTATATTTGGGCACTTTTTTTTCCCTCCAGCCATATCATTAAGTACTCCAGTGGCAGGACACCAGATCAATTTCCTAGGGCAAAGAATGAGTATTTTCTGTCTTGAGTGAGTGCCTTAGGTCGGGGGTTGGCAAACTTTTTCCGAAAAGAATGAGATAGTAAATATTTCATTCTTTGTGGGCCATGAGGTTTCTGTTGCAACTATTAAACTCTGCTAGTATGGAGAAAAATCAAAGACAATTTATAAATGAACGAGCATGCCCATGTTCCAATAAAATTTGGTATTTAAAAAATAAGTGTGGGACAGTATGGCTCATAGGCCATAGTTTGTCTATCCCTGCCTCAGGTAATCAAATGACCTTTTTTTTTTCTGAACAGACAGATCACATGAGAGATACTCCAATATCTGAAGGAAAAAAGTTAACTTCAAAATGAACACAGCTTGAAAGCATTTCACCTTTAAACATGGTTTTCCCAGCGGGACACACAGGCCGTCACTTGTCTTGGTGTAATAGCTCACAAATTCATTCAGTGTTGAAAAGGTTCTTCTCTGGGTAAGGAAAAAACCCCCTTCATCCAGTCTTCTGATTCTGTAGTGTTTCACAACACTTTCATCTAAAACTAGAACCCAAAATAAGTCCTATTAATACACTTCTTGCCAAAGCCAAGCGGATTTACTTATTTTGCGGTGATAGTTTCAATGCATGGAATAAAATTTTCGTAAGTTCTATTTATTTCACAACTTGGTTTCAGAAAGGACTTCAGGAGGTTTACAAAAGTTATATAGCAGAAGAAAAGGGAAAAAGAATTGGGAAATCACATTTAAAGGAAATATAAAATAAAAATAAAGGAGTGAGGTCACCACTAAAAAAGCTAGGCTTTGAGGCCTATTTGACTCGATTAAAACAAGCCATAAAATTGACTCTGTCATTCTAGGGGTGCCTGGTTGGCTTGGTCGGTAGAGCATGCAACTCTTGATCTCGGGTTCGTGAGTTCAAGCCCCGCCCTGGGAAGTAGAGCTCACTTAAAAAAAAAAAAAAAAAATTGACTCTCATACTAGCAATGCAAAGAAGCAAACATTATCCGTTTCAGAAATACCATAAGATGAAATCATAAAACTTGTTTAGAAACAGTTCAACTCTTCCTGGTACAGAGACCATGGAGAATTTTCTCCCATGAAATCCTATAAAGTGGAGAATAAAACAGTGTCCTCAGTACTACCAACAATAACATAAGGAATCCTGCAGGGCAGCTCGTTATACTGTCTCTAAATGCAGGCCGATAACAGAATGTCCAAGCACAGTTCAATAAAAGCAATTCCACAGGGCCTCAAATAATGCAATCCATGTATACAGCTTTGCAGCACTATTGCTTGATCCAAGGACAAGTCTTGTAACAGCTAAAGGAATGAACAGACTGTACACCCTTTTTCAAATCATCTGACTTAGAGTGGGTATTTTGTTGCTTTTGCTTACCACCAGCCATCCTCCCTTCTTCTGGTAATAGCACCCCAGTTTTCCTCAGAGAATCATTGCTCCTCTAAGAGCATGTGGTCCAAAGATACGGGTGCCAACCCTGAGCCAAGGAATGAACAGAGCCAAAAAGCCTCAAATCCAGGACTTGCACTAGAGAGCTCTAAGAAAACAGGAAGAAGTCTGTTGTTATGGTGGTTGTTTCGGTTTGGTTTCTGTTTAACTGCTGGAAGTTTGGAGCACCTGGCAAAATCTTGCCCCCAGGCAGGGAGAGAGCTTGCCTGAGAAGCTCTTTCCTTGATATGGAAAGTGAAGCTTAGCCCCTGGAGCGCCCCCAAGCTTGGCTTCTCAGCTAGAAGCATCAATCAGTCACCTTTTTTACTTAAACTAGTTTGGATTGGGGGCTTTTTTAAAGCACTTGCATTCAGAATACTGCCTAATACATTTCATAAGTTCGTCTTTCATTTAGCAAAGTTATTGGTAAGTATTGAGCAGCATTTACCAGAGATACAGATATTCCAAATTCCCTGCTAAATATAGACACTTGTGCTCCAATAATCGGTCAAGCTGGAGCAATGCTCTCATGAAAGAAAAGAAGACTGAGTAGAAGACAGCTCAATCCCAGCATGGAGGTTTACTGAGGGCACGCTGCTGGGAGGGACAATGTTTTCCTCACAGAATAATCAGTGCACATCACAATGGCTAAAATTAAAAAAAAACAGACAATAGCAAGTGGTGACAAGGAAGTAAGAGTAACTGGAACTCTCATACACAGATGATGGAAGTGTAATTTTCACAATCATTTTAGAAAACTGTCATGGTCTACTAAAGTTGAACATAATCATACCTATAGGACAGTAATTCCACTCCAACGTATGTAACCAACAAAATGCACAATATATGCACCCAAACACAGGTACAAGAATGCTTTTAGCAGCATTGTTTGTAAGAGTCTAAACCTGGAAACAATCCAAATGTCCATCAACTGTAGAACAGACTAAGAAATTATTGTATGTTTGCCCAGGGAATACTGTACAGATATGTAAATAAACAAACTATAAATACACACATCAACATGAATGAATCTCACAAATATTATTGAAAACTATTATTTAAAACCATTATTTAAAAACTAGCAAAACTACTGACATTTGGAGTCAGACTGGCACGTTCGTAAGATTCTCTTTCTTGACTGGGTGCTGGTTTACACATGGGTGTATTCACCTTCTGAATGCTCATCAAACCAAACTCTTACAAATTGTGTACTTTTGTTACGTATGTCACACGTCAATTTAAAAGAATGTTTTTAGGGGCTCCTGGGTGGCTCGGTTGGTTAAGTGTCTGCCTTCGGCTCAGGTCATGATCCCAGAGTCCTGGGATCGAGCCCCACATTGGGTTCCCTGTTCAGCAGGGAGTCTGCTTCTCCCTCTGCCCCTGCCCCTTTCCCCCCACTTGTGCTCTCTCTCTCCCTGTCAAATAAATAAATAAAATCTTTGCAAAAAAAGAACTTCAATTGTTCTCTTACCAAAAAAAGGTAAGTATGTGAGGTGATGAATGTATTAATTAATTCAGTGGGAGTAATGCTTTCACAAAGTATATCAAATCATCACATTGTAAACTTTAAATATCTTACAATTTTCTCAATTTTTCCTCAATAAAACTGAAAAAAAGAATCACATCATCTGCACACAGAAAAATATTTTAGTTTTTCATAATACAGAGGGTGGGAGTATATTCAGATTCCCCAAAAGCCATATAAGTTTCTTAAATTACAATTTTTGAAGTATCTGCAACATATTCTTATACTCTCTGATCTGTCAAGTTACCATTCCCACTGACTGTGACTCTTGGGACAATGTTAGTTGCCCTGAATAATCATCACCAAATGGAAGGTTTTATCAGGATATAGAGCTAAGCTCATAACAATCCCTATATATGGATTAAAAGGCTAACAGAAAAATCAAGGAGAGCTGTCAACAATATTAGCTCAATTCATTTCTCCACAAAGCAATACAAATATTAGAAGTAGAAAGGTAGCTAAATAGAAAGCATACTTGCAATTTATATAAATGATTGGCCTGAAAATTCAAGCTTTCCCATTTATCAAACAGAAAAGTGCATAAATTATAGCTGAGATGTCTAGCAAGCCAGTAGGGTTATAATTGGAAATGATTGGAAGCAATAAAAAAAATTCCTGCTTTTAAACAAGATGGACAATATCTGGTTTCAAACTGAAGTGGACTGTGTGGAAATTAAACATAAACAGGAATTCCTTTTTGATGCACCACAAAAGATCTAAAGATTTCCAAGCTGGAGACTAAAATCAATAAATGACTGAAGGGTTAAAGTACTCCCTGTGATTTTCTTAATAAGGGACGCAAATCTCAATGATTGATAAGGCTTTGGCAACTGTTATTGATTATAAAGAAAGCCTAAATAAATGTTTGCCAACTCTGTAAAGGTTTCAATTCTCAGCTGTAAAAACCAATACTTTGCAATACATTTAGCATTCTCAAGCACAATAAAAGTAATTTTGTTTAATATAAAAAGCAATAGATCTGGAAATGGGAGTCCCAGGTTACAATTTAACTTGTGTATGACCAAAAACACATCAATCTCACCTGGCTTCAGTTTCCCTATCATTAAAATAAAAGAGCAGGCTTTAAGAAATCTCCAAATTTCCAGTTGTTTCCACCTTAGTAATCAAACATTTCTGATGGCTGTTGCTTTCTTTCCCTGAATTCCCATTACGTGTTGTAGTCCTTTCAAAAACAAGTAATTCTCACCTCAGAGCCTTGAGCACCACTTACTTGGATGCTTTTCCTACGAATCTGAATCTACTTACAGCCGGCCCTTCCTTCGGATCTCAGTTTAAATCCTCAGAACCACCCTTCTCCACCCACCCTATTGAATGCACCTCTCCCCAGCTCCCTCCTATCACCCCGTTTAACTATGAAACTACTTATCTCGGTAGAGGTGGCTCCCCAATGACAGGGGCTCTGCTGTTTTGACCCAATATCTATCAGAGTTTGGCACAGAGTAACACCTAACATAAACATCTGCTAAATGAATGGAGATAATTCACCAACCCTTGAATTTGAAGTGAAATACAAGCTTCTGAAATGTCTGCTGCAAAATTAAATAGAGAATTATATAAATATTTCAAGACAAATTCCCTGGAATTTTATTTTTAAAGGGAAGAAAACACACTTAGCCCCAGAATATAGATACTATTAGAGGATCGTCATTCAAATTTCGATCTTTTTTTTTTTTAATTTCTGTAGCATAACACAGAAATAACTACTCCATCTCTAACTGACAGCACGGATATTTATATTTGCTTCATTCAAGTTTTCAACCTAAATAAGACTGAAAGACATCTATCTATCTATCTCTATATATATGATGTACAAATTAGACCACAGAAGCTACATCAGGGAAATCCAATACATTTTAGTCAGGATGAAGGCCCTTTTAATATTGTATTCTTGAGTAATCAAATCCAAAATATATGATTGTTTTTTTAAAAGTGGTTTTAATTTGTTAGTAGTGAGTCCAGACATTTCCAAGTTGTCGTTCTTAATAAAGATGGAATTGACGGGGTCTCAGAACTAGGGAGAAATGAATTTTCTATTCCTTTTCTGGCTCGCTGCCATCTTTATTATTGGACCAAACCTATTCCAAACTCTATAGACTATAAGTGAATGATAATGTTTGTGCCGTTCTTATTGTGAATGAGTTCAGACTAATTAAGCATTCTAGTAGTTCATCAGCAAAAACCATAAGGCTAACTATAAAATATAATGGAACCATCCATCAACAAAGTCAGGGAGCATCATGATTGAACGGATTTAGCTAAAAGGCCAGGCATCCTGAGTTTACATCTTGACTCTCATTTATGCTGTTTGACCTAGGGGAAAATGTTTCACCTGTCAACAGATTAATCTACCAGAACATGTCCAAGAATTAGGATATATTGCCGAGATGTAGGTAAGCATGCAGGAGGAGTACGATACGGTGAATGTTGAGAGAATTCAACTATTTCTCCCCATGGACTTCTGTGAGGGCTGCGGCACAGGGCCCGTGATTATCTGGCCACCTTCACTTCCAGAGTAACTAATTCTGGGGGGAATCTGTGTCATAGGGATG